GGTTACCTTTACCCATTTACCTCTCGTAACCATGATACTATGACTAAGAAGATAAATAACGCATAAATCGTGACGTCATTGGAGAGTTGCACGTTCGAAATGTCAGTTTTTTGTTTGTATCAATAAATAATATTTAATAAATAGTTTGGAGATATCCTTATGTGTACGATTATTGTAATTATTAAACCTCTTATTTTCGTCTAGTAATTTCATCAATAATGCATACAAATCCCATTAACTTTAACAGGAATTCAAATTCTACTCTCCAATGACGGCATGCGTGAACACGACCGATTTTGTGCTACGGGAAGATCCTATCTTGTTAGTCATAGTATCATGCTTGTAACGTTGTAATTCTTGTTTTCATTTTGCATTTCATTCTGTTTTTGCTCAGTTATTTTTTGTGTGCTTAGGCCTTAGTGCTTAGAAATCAATTTGTTTTAATTTTATCAAAATGGATATTAAACATTATACTGGTTTTAAGTCTATATCACATGATATCCCATTTCAACCAGCTACACCAAAAATCTTATTGATAGCAATAATCCATTTTTTCTCTTTGAACTATTTTATGCTTGGCAACAGGAAATGAATAAAATTTACAATCACTTATACCCAGTATTTTTACATGTATCAATACAACAGCTGCTATAACTTTTTCTTTTTGAAAAATCCATATTCGCCATTATTTGAATGTTTACAAGTTAAATGCACAAAACTCTCACTAACAGCGTTGGTGAAAAACTGTCAAATCCCCTCTACTCATCGGCTCACAGCGAATAGACTGTTTTTCCGGTAGGGTAACTACGCCACCTAGGAAAGAAATCTGAACTACCAACTGACATGAGTAAACTTGTTTGACAGATAAAATGTAAAATATTTTTGCCAAATCAAGTACTGAATAAGAAGTTATCTGGAAGATGAATTATGTTTATTATAGTCTGATATTATGTTGTAGGATATCGCGAAATCAAAAATATAACCTAAATATTGTTGTTTATTGTGGGTGAGAGACATGGATCCGGTATTAGAAGATTTAATGAAATCGAAGAATATAATACTATTGTCTATTCGCTTAGCTAGGGCATATTTTGACAGACTCATTGTAGGAAACCTACAAACACAACAATTCCTACTTCTCAGTATAAATAGCTCAAGTATACTACTATTGCAGACCTCTTTCTTGAAAAAAAAGAAGAATTATTCTAAATAGTGGAAGTGTATACTAAACCCATCAAATTTTCCCTGTATATTTAAAATATAATATTTGAATTGTTACAATTTAAAATATTGTAGTAAATATTTGTATTATTCACGTTGTTTATTTAATTTAATATTGTTTTATTATCTTTGTTTAATTCTTTTGTTAGTTCTATTCAGTTAATTAGTTAGTTATATTTTAAATTTTATTATTTGGATAGTCAAAGTTTTCCATTTGTTCCATCAGCTAATGCGTCGGTAAGTTTTTCTTAATAAATATGATAAAATGTTTTTTAAAAAGTTTTTTTTAAGTTAATATTTTTAAATTAGTAAGGATGCTGTTCCTAGATTACAAGATAATAAAACTGCACAAAGGTTTATTCAAAATTCCTACCATTTTTTTTTCCGAATGAAAACCCTGTTGAGATAAGTTGATCATTAAAATGTATTTATCGAATTATGTAAATGTTGTAAATACATGAGGAACTTGCTGTGTCTTATTCTTATTTAACCTCACTTTGACTTCTTAATTTGTAGAATTTATTCCCACTTTTTTATTTTGTACAATAAATAATTTTATTATTTGTTATCAATACATTATACGGTGTAAATAAATAAATATTGATTGTCGGCAAAGTTCTATTTTATTTACTTTTGTTTACATTAATATTGACTAAGAGCACGTATGCTTGGTTGTATAGTATTTTCCAGCCACTTCGAGTCTGTCAAAAAGTTACTAACTTCGAAAAAAAAATAATTACTAAAATCACTCGACAGTTCGGACTGGAATAGCGAACCGAGTATATAAGAGATATATTTGAGACAGAATCGACCATATAGAAACCTTTTTAAGACGTTTAGATTAAGTAAACCGACAGTGATCTATATTCTGAGAATATATTGTAAATAGTTGTTATTAATAAAAGAATATAATGGTAGGTGTTCTTCCTCATTTTCTTCACTAAGTTTAGGCATTTATTGTTTTCATAATTTTGATTATACAAAAAAAAGTTTAAATGAAAATAATAGAGATGGGTTGTTACTTGGACATTCTGATGATACACTGAAGCCATTTTCAAGGAGGCTACTAAACAATTGTAATGTAAACATAGCAAGAAAATAAAGAATAGAAAAAATAAGGGCTAGTAGCATAGGGAGAATAATAATCATTCAATTAATTATTATATATTCATATTAAATACAGTAACGTATACATTTTTAATTATACAAATAATAGCAATTGAACTAGTTTGGCACAAGGCCCGAATGTTTAAGAATTACGAAATCTGAAGACCTTCGTGAAAATTAATACAACGAAGCGACACACCATCGCATGTTACATTCCAACACGTGGAACAGTACAGCAGAATCAGCAAAATAAACTAGGAATGTTCGCGGGACATAAAAACTAAAAAAATTGGTCAACCAGTCAGTCAGTGATAGCTGGGCACCGTGACTGCCCGCTCAGGCAGTGATCGCCGGCTCCGGGTCGGACGCGATAGCGTCCAGTACGCGATCAGTAATAGGCAGTCGGTGTCTTCGGGCAGGGTTGTTAATACGAGATTCGGCACCAGGTGCGGATTACGCGCGATTGTTATATTTCGACGGGGTATAGTTCCGTATAAGTGTCGGGTACTGAAAGAAATCCGATTTCCAGAGGAAACTGAAGGGCGTATCATTAGCTAGAGCCTAAATACGCGAAAGGTAACAAAATTCTATATACTAACCCGAGTAAATTATAGTATTACAGATTGTCACCCCTTTACTTCTTGCTAAGATCTCTTCTCGTCTCCCTTCGCGCCGAACGAGTTATTATTAATGATATCTGACAGCTTGTTAACTTAATTGTAAACCACATAGTGGTTTACAATTTCTCCATGAACAAAAATTTCTATAATGAATTCCATATTAAAACTAGATATGTAAAAGAACTTTTTATGTATGAAAGAGAAGGTTAGGGACTGTTTTATCAATGGAAGTGGCTGAAAAATTGAAAAAATTCAACCGTTCTAACCTACAGCAAATTCTATTGCCTACCGAGAGAACAAAATGAAGACAATTTTGAAGATGAATTGCTAAATAAAGACAGTATAGAACTTTCTGAAGCTGAAGATGTTTGAGCTAAGTTTAAATAATATTTTAGTGTATGGAGAAACCTCAGAAGAAACATTTATATAAATTTATCATTCTTTACACAATTTAATTTATTCTTGCCACCACAAATTGTACAATCAAAAGAGATATTAAACCATTAGTGTGATTTCTTTGACAATTAATCAAATATTACGTTTACGAAATAAATTTTAGGTTTATCTTACAGATAAGTAACCGCAACATAATTTGACGTGAAAAGGTGGATAGTATATTTTATTCTATGAATAAATGTCTATCGTTCAGATAACTATTCATCATCATCCAGCCTCAAGAGTCCACTGCTGAACATAGGCCTCTTCCTCATGTTTCCAACCCCGTATATCTTGGGCCGCTCTTATCCAATTTTTATTGATTCTTCTTAAATCGTCAGTCCATCTTGTAGGTGGTCGACCGACGCTTCTCTTGTCTTCCTTGGCTCCATTCCAATAACCTTTTTGTCATCGCCATCTGTCATTTGGCTATGTGTCCTGCCCATCTCCATTTTAGTCTGGCTATCTTCTGCTTTCAGTCTGCTCCGTACGTCAAGACTGGGAGGACGCACTGATCAAATACCTTTCTCTTTAGGCATGTGGGCAGCTCGCTTTTAAAAGTTTCTCTCCGTTTTCCAAATGCTGCCCACCCAAGGCCGACTCTTCTCTTCAGTTCATGAGTCTGGTTATCTCTGCCAATCATAATTTCATGTCCCAGGTATTTATATCTATCTACGAGTTCTATTTCTTTCCCACCAACTGATGTTCTGGTTGGGCACCAAATTGGTCATGATTTTTGTTTTCGAGATATTTATATTTAAACCTACATTTTCTGTAGCACACGAGTTCCTGTACCATCTCTCTTGCCATACTAGATCTTCAGCTATTATAAGTATATCATCGGCGAAACGTAAGTTGTTTAGATATTCTCCATCTATTTTTATTCCCTTTGTCATCCAATCCAAATTCTTAAAAGCATGTTCTAGCACCGTATTAAAAAGTTTAGGTGACATTGGGTCTCCTTGTCTAACCCCCGTTTATTTTTATGCGATTACTGTTAGTATGTAATTTGACAGTGGTTGTTGCCTGCAGGTATATTTTGTATAATAATTTAATATATCTATAATCTAGCCTGCATTCTTTAAGCGCCTGTAATATTTTGCGTAGCTTAAACTGTATCAAAGGCTTTGTGAAAATCGATAAATATTAGAACTAGAGGTTTATTGTATTCCACTGCTTTCTCTATTAGGGTTTTTATACTTTGTAGATGGTCATTTGTTCCGTAACTTTTTCGGAATCCTGCCTGTTCCCTTGGTTGATAAGTCTCTAATTTTCTTTCCATTCTCTTAACTAGTATTCGCGTAAACATATATATATATATATATATATATTATATATATATAAATATATATATATATATATATATATATATATATATATATATATATGGTTGAGGAGGAGGCTAATCGAAGATAACTATTAGATAGGACAATATTTATCTGGAGATGAAAATTCCGGCCCCTTCTTGCACGAAGTCTATTATTTTAAAATTTAAAAATTGAACTTTAAATATTTAGAAAGTTGTTTGTCTTTCGTTTGTTGATTGTTGTGATTATGGATAGTAGGTTATTGGGACATTTCTATTGGGACATAGTCAAATTTATTAAAGAAACTTACCTTTCATCAGCACATCCTGCGGCAAGATCCAATTCATGAACTGCGTGGTTAAATTATATAAGCCACTCATTCCTTTCGGATTGAACTTGACACCTCCTGATAGATACTTATGATTATCTACAAAATCTGTATAGTTTGGCAGAACGCTTTTGAGGTCATCAAGAACGACCTTCATGTTGCTTTTGATCGTATCTAAGCTATTAGAGAATCCTCCTCCACCACTGGACAAACCAATGGCCAAACATAACACCAGGCACGTCAGAGAAAAACTGACAATGTTGATGGACAACCTGCTTATATTCGGTGCAGAAGGTTTCATTTTGGAACGAGTCATTTTTGATAATTCTAAATTGAAAGTTATCTGGTTTACAAGGGGGTCATTTTGTTTTGGAGTGGTTGATCAGTCGATAATTTGTAGCAGTTGGAAGCACCTGTAACAAAACAAAATACATCAGTAACATAACGCTAAGGATGTAAATAGGTAATGAAGATTAAAACTTAATTTATGACAAATTCGCAATTACGATTAGGTAGCAATTATGATTACGATGAATGCTGTCCACTTTGTAGGAGGCAGCTCATGGCATCTTTGTCGAACAATTCGATTTCGTAAATTACTAATTTTGGCTTTTGTTATCTCTGAGTTAACTTTTGCAAATTTACTGTCATCGCCATCAGGGCTATAAAATGTATGTCATATTTTTGCAAATATTTTTTTTTGGTCACTATATTTTTAGATAAAATAAATAAAATTTACTACCAGAATAAGTTATTCTAAATCTTATGTCTACATAAAAACTTGGTGTTATTTAAATACACGCTGAAACAATAAGGGATTACAACAAATGATTTTTATTTTATAATATGTCGTCGACTATACAAAAAGTTTAAAAAATATGTAACAATAAAACACTGAAAACTTTGTTTTCAAACTTCCACAAAATTTATTTTAATCTCTATCACTACAGCTGTTTTGGCTGATTGCCTTTCTCAAGTGATCTATTTTTGGCATTCGTTTACAATTTATAGTCTCTAATGAAATAGGTTGAGGAGGGGAGAACTGTTTGTCTCAAGTTGGTCGTTCAGAATTATATCTGTGTTTTTTAATTTGTTGGGTGTATATTACATCATCCGTTTTTCCGGAGTAATAAGTAATATAACCTCCACTTTTTACAGTTCCCGATCCGGTCCATCTAGCTTCGCTAATTCCAAAGACTTGCAGGCCCAGACGTTTCATTTCGAGTTGTACATTTTTAGCTTTCTTGATTGATATAAAGTTCTAACATTCCACATAGCAATGTTTTATTAATGATCTATTTTTGTTTTTCCCTCCGGAGATTCTTAGCACCCCTGTCCCATTAAAGGGACGCCGGAGACTCGGGGCCGTAGTTTGTATTTGTCATGGAGCTTTTCTTGGGAGATTTAGTGCAGTAGTTCCCATTGCTTTCTGTGCCGCAGTATCACAACCAGTTAAATCATTATGTCAATCAATCAATCAATCGTCAAACCTGCTAGATGTCGTTCTAACAGCCTGAACAGCTTGATTCATTAATGGCATCACTGCTGCCTAATGCCATCCCAAATAGGGAGTAGCTAATGCTTATTTGAAACAACCAGCAGTAGTAGAAGAAAACAATATGAAAGCAAACATAAAGGAGAGACCCAAACAAAAAGTTAAGAAGCATGAGCTAAGAAAAGAAACAACGAAAATGTAATAAAAAAAAACTTAACATGGAGATGGAAAATGAATGAGAAACAATAGGTAAAATGGAAGTTGAATAGGCAAGGATTTAAAGAAAATGATGATCAAAATAGCAAACAAGTATGTGGGCATACAATAACGAAAGAAGGGAACTGACAGCATAGTGGAATGAAGAAATAAAAAGAGAAATATAAAGAATAAACTATGGAAGAATATATTACGAGAGAAAACACAAGAAAAATATGAAAATTCCAAAGGACAAAAACATCAAAATTAAGGAATCAGTAAAAAATGAGAAGAAAATTTTCGACAAATAAGAGAAAAACGGAGGAAAAACAGCAAAGAAAATGTAAAATTATTAACACCGGAAAACCTAAAAAGCAAAAAAGATCAAATTAAAAAATAAAGGAAAGAACAATAATAACGGGGGAACTCCTCTAACGGGGAATTTTAGTCACTTGTTACACGGAGAGCAAGAAAAGTAGCAGAAAAGAAAACAAAGAAATGAGAAGATATAAGGAAAATATTGAAATACTGGTAACCATCATCATTGGCTTTTATAACACTTCGTGAGTTTTTGCCGCGTTTACTATTGCCTTCTATTGATTCCGATCCTGTGCTATTATTTCCCATGGCCTTACTTCCATCTTCTCCAGGTCTTCCCTGACTGCGTCTTTCCACTTTTTCTAGGCCTTCCTGTCGATCTTTTACCATCTGGTCTTTCCCAAAACACATTGCTAATCAGTCTGTCGTCATCACTCCGTACCACGTGGCCTGTCCATCTTAATCTATTGGCTTTTATGTATCTTACGATGTTTCCTTCCCGAAGAGAGTCTCTATTTCATTGTTGTATCTGCTCCTCCATTCATTTGTCACGCTGTCCCTGCAAGGACCATATATAATTCGCAGGATTTTGCGTTCCCATACTAATAGCTTATTGATTTCTTTCTTTCTCAATGTCCATGTTTCACTTCCATATGTCACTGCTGGTCGTATTATGGTTTTGTACATTTGGATTTTGGCACGCCTTGGGAGAAGCTTTGACCTCATTAGATGTTGAATGGCAAAGAATGATTTATTCCCCGCCAGTATTCGTATTTCAACCTCCCGTTCTCCAGTGTTTTCACTGGTAATTGTTGCTGCTGGGTATTTGAATTCTTTGACCACCTCAAAATTATGATCGTTTATGGTAATGTTTTGTCTTATTCGCTGTCGTTCCTTTTTTGATACGACCATGTATTTAGTTTTTTCTTCGTTTATTTTCAGGCCTACGCTTAGTGTTGCTTCTTCAAAGTTCGATACTATATCCTTAACTTCCAGTGTCTGTGCTACTGCATCTACATCATCTGCAAATGCGAGAATAATCTTTGCTCCTCTGGCAGTTATGTCTGGTTTGACTCTGGTATAGATTTTTCGCATTGCGTATACCAATGCTAGGTTAAATAGTAATGGGGACAGCGGGTCTCCCTGTCTGAGACCGGTGCTTATGCCGAAAGCCTTTGAAGTTTTTGCCTCCTATTCTAATTTGTGCAAAGGAATTGTTGACACACATTCGCGCAATCATGGTCAGCTTCTTTGGTACGCCTAACTCCATCATTGCACTCCACAGTTTTAAGCGATCTATGGAATCATATGCTTGTTTGAAATCTATGAAGATCTGGTGTACTTCTTTTATTATATTTCCAATACTTTTCTAGCATTTGTCTGATAGTAAATATTCCAGGCCTAAAGCCGCATTGATAATCGCCAATAATTTCCTCTGTATATGGCAGTAATCGTTTTAGTACAACTGAAGCTAATATCTTATATGTAGTACCGATTAGTGAGATTCCCCTGTAGTTGCCACATGTATCCTTTCTGCCTTTTTTATTGTATTGGCACGATAATACAGTCACTCCATTCTTTTGGCATTATTTCTTGTTCCCAGGCTTCTTTCATTAATTGGTGAATTTTAGTTCTAAGTTCATGCCCTCCTTTTTTATCAGTTCTGCATCAATATTGTCTAGTCCCGGGGATTTGTCATTTTTTAGGGTTTAAATACTGGTAATACAGAAGCTATAAAAAACGAAGAGCTAGAAGAGGCATAGGAAGATAAAAATTCTAAGTATCTCTCTATTGAGGGTCCCGGCCAAGTAAGTTAACCATCATTTTTAAAAACTTAACCCACTTAACAACTTGTTGGTTATACTTTCCGCACAATTTCTTTTTAAAAACGATTTCCGGAGTGGACATCGAAATGTCAAACAGTAATGTAATTTTTATTACAATCAATTATGGCTTATTACCATCCCATATAAATATAGTATTTAACTTAAAATAGTATTATTACATAGTATATTGTAAATTTAACTTTTTATAGTGAAAAGACAGCAAATATTTGATTTTACGCAAAAAGCGCCTTTGTATCTGTTGATACGTATTTCGACCTAATAGGTCTCATCAGAACTTTTAACACCTTTATCAACGTCTGTTTTTGCTTTGCAATTTTTAGAAAGCACAGATTAAAGCGGAAATCTGAATAGTGTTCGAAACTATTTTACGGTTTAACTTTTTTACTTGTTTAATGAAATTATTACCAAAATGTATTTTTTGGCTACCAGAAAAATTATATTAACTTCGATAATTCTGAATACGTTAAAACCACTTTAGAGACCGACCGAATGTGATTTTTTTGGCCGAAGCCGATGCCGAAGTTCGGCCTGAAGGATACCTTCGCCGAAGCCGAAGCCGAAGGTGACTAAAAATATACCTATTACCTATTATATGTTAATAATTTAAATAATGTGCATTATATTTTTATTAACTGATAAGTGATAAACAAAAATATAAAATTATGAGATAAAAAAGTCAAATATTTATACATTATTTGGTAATAGAAGCGATAATAAAAATAAATAACATTAAAAAACATTAAAGCAAAGTGAGTATTTATGATTACTGGATCTGGTAGTTAATATTCAAAATCAAACATCCTAATATTATACGTAAAAAAAGAAGCTTGTCAGCATTTTCTCCCAACAAATTAGTTCTTCTGTCAGCGTACAGTTGCCCAGCAGAGCTGAATAACTGCTCACTAGGTACACTCGTTGGTGGTGCCGATAGAAATTTTTTGGCTGCAGTTTTTAAAGAAATATAGGGACTTGATTCCCAATAATGAAATATGTCGGCACTTCTTAAAAGCAAAGCCTCTCGTAAATACGAATCTAGGTAATCTGCATTGGGATCGTTGTCGTTATGAATTTCTTTTGTTGTATCTAGAACGGCTGTGACAAAAGTATCATGTGAATTCCAAAGACTATTGTTTCTAGATCTTCTACCTGTGTAGTTGTAGATGATGATGTTGAGGCGATAGCCATAGGAACTTTATTTGTATAACTAAAACTAAGAGCTATCAGATTCACGTAGAAATTTTAAAATTCTTGCTTTACATGTAATTACTTCCTCGTCTGTCAAATATTTTGATTTAAAGCGAGGATCTAGAAGAGCCGCAACTGACATTTCTGGCAAATTTGTAATATTAGCGAATCTTTTAATTAATGATTCACGAAGTCGTAGCTTTAATAAACTTATCTCCTCAGAGTCCTGCTTTTTCGCAGAAACTTTACCATTCAGCATTTTTATTAATGGGATAACCAATGATACACAAGCAGAATCGGCTGAAAGATCTAGCGTCGCTTGGTAAAACAAGTTAAATCTGAAATTAAATTGTTTCGAATAGCCGTTCCAACA